ACTGCGTCGGCGGTCCAGTGGCGAAGCTGGTGGATCTGCGTGTCCCAAGGTGGTGGCGGCTGGTTGTCGAGTAGTTTGGAAAATTGAGCCTGCTGGTTTGGGCTTGCATCTGAGCTGGGCCATACCGAGGTGGTTGCACCCTTCTTGCTTCGGCATGTGGTCGCTCGTGCTGGATGGCGAGGTCGACTGGGTAGTGGTCTTCGCGTCTGGTTCCTGCGTCGCGGTGGTGGTGGTCGACGTAAAAGCCAGCTGTGCATCGTAACCAGTCGCGGGCAACTAGTGAGCCAATGATCCAGCAGTGCAATGTAAGGCCAGCATTACAGGCCAGTAAAGGCCAATTGGTCGTAGACGTAAGGGCCAGCGCTGTAATCATGTTCTGCGCTTCGCCGGCTTGCCTTTGTTATCTTAAACGATTGTGTGTGTGTGTGTGTGTGCGTGGTTTCCTGTGCTAGTGCGTGTAAAACAGTGGACTGCCAATGTCAGTCGCACTTGCGCCGCAATGTCGTCTTCGCCCGGTTGTTGATGATAGTAGCCTCGTCCTCTGTGGTGGTGGGCGCTGCTTGCGGGCGTGTCGGCGTTGGTCAGCTGCCCGGCCGTTGTAGTGAGCGGTGTAAATTGATGTGCCACGTGGGCCAAATAGTGAAACCCGTCTCGCTGAATCATGGGATAGGCGTAGTGGTCGCTGGTAGGATCTTTCTGGTGGATGGCCCAGTATAGGCGTTTATTCCCCAATCAGGGCTTGCCTCTGTAGGGTTCCTACCGGATTCGCATGGCTAGGTGAGCTTTGCCGCCGATTTCCGCGGCCCGCGCGGGCGCCCGGGTTCCCCATGCCCCTATAGCCCTGATAGCCCTCAGAGCCCTCTAGCCTTATAGCCCCATAGCCCGATAGCCCTAGGAGCCCAATAACACTGTAACCTTATAGCCCTATAGCCCTATCGCCCTAGAGCCCTATAGCTCCACGGCCCTATGCCCCTGTAGCCAAATAGCCCGAATGCCCTATAGCCCCGCAGCCCTATAACCTATAACCATGTAGCCGTATAGCCCAATCGCCCAACAGCCCTATAGCCCTATATCCCTTTAACCCTATAGCCCTATGGCCACATAGCCCAAAAGCCCTATAGCTCCATATGCTTGTAGCCCCATAGCTTCATAGCCCTATATCCCCATAAGCCTATGGCCCTCTAGTCCTATAGCCCCAAAGACCCATGACCCTATGGCCCTATAGCCCCATAGCCCTATAGCCCTACAGCACTATAGCCCTATGGCCCTATAGCCCGATAGCCCTATAGTCCTAATGCCCTATGTCCCTAAAACTGTATGGTTCCATGGCCCTATAGCCCCATAGCCCTATGACCCTATAGCTCAATAGCCCTATAGCCCTAGAAAGACTCGGATTGGGATTTTCTCTGGTATCCTAATCTACTAATAGGTATTGTAGGTGCGCGCGTTGCTGAGGAAGTATGAGGTAGTTTGTGCTTGCTTCTTCTGCGTTAGATTTGACTGATGCGCGCCCTTTTGCTAGTGTCTGCACGCTCATTTCATGGATGGCCTTCGGTTCCATGACTATGGCGCGTGGTTATGGAGTGTTGCTTGCGCTCATGGTGGTTTAATACGCGTGCTACCCGTGTGATTGGACCGTCGCAGTGTGCAGTCTGATGGATCATGTAGATATTTGCTCGTGAAGTGGGGTGGTTGCTGTGTGGCGCAGAGTATTGCCCAGATGGTGGCTTCTAGCTCCAGGCGCGGGCTGTCAAGTTGGCCTGGGCCGATGTCGCTGTGGGCGCTGCTCGCGGTGCTGCCTGTGTAGCATCCGCGCGTGCTTGGTTTGCGGTCGTCGTACTTGAGCACTGGGAACGCCCGGGCGGAGTCGTCCTCGGTGGTTTGCAATGATCCGTCGGGGAGCAAGAACAACGTGGAGCGCCTGGGTAGCGGTTGGTTGTAGGATGCGCGCGCTGCGCGCGCAGCAGGGCGGGGTGCAATGTCAACGAGGCCGCGTCGTCGTGCCGTGCCCCCTGTGGCTCCCGGAGAAAAGGCACGGGGATGCACCTGGATGTCTGGGTGGAGGTGGTGATGCGCACTGCGCGAAGAGGGGTTGGGGAGACATGAATCGCCTGTATCGCTTACCAAGTGGTTCACATCATCCAACCGCTTTGCGGGTCAGGCATGGGATATCGTAAAATAATGGCGCTGGCCTTTTGAGTCGTGTCAAGAGAAGGTTGTTGGGTGAAAATGCCATTGCCTCTAGGGCTCAGTCGGCTGCTAATGTCTTCGTGCCCGTGACCTCGAAGTCGTTGTCGGCCCTGCGTCTAAATCGTCGTTGCCCTCGTTCAGTGTCGGCGCATGCAGTGGTGAACGCCTAGGTGGCGAGTGAGATGCTTGAGGCCGATCGCTGGGGCGAGCCCTGGTTGTGACTCAATGCTGTATAGCAAGTGGTTGCACTTCCGCAAGTTGGTGGGGGGCCTCGCATTGTTCTGCGGTCTCCTGTTGTTGCCATGTCGTGACGCATTGCGGGGTGTCGCCCGTGGGCAGTGACTGTGTAGTCGCTGCTCCTCTGCGTTCTGGTGTTTGTGGTCGTGATGTGTCTGTTATTTCTCGGTTGATGCGATAGGAGGTGTTTGCTGCTGTGGTGCTCGGGGTGAGTAATGCTCCGTCGGTGTGATTGGTGGCTCGGGTGATGAGTCTACTTGTTGTGGCGATGCTAGTTATTGTGGTGGTTTGGCGTGTCGGTGACATGCTGTACTGGCATGCGCGTGCTGGTGTGCGTCGTCGTAACGTCGTCCTTCATGTCGTTCTTGTCGTGGATGTCATCGGTGTCGTCGTCTGTCATGCCTTCAAGTTCGTCTTGCAGACCATGGACTTCGTCTTCCCCTTGTACTTGACGTGGTTGTCGTCGTTGTAATTCACAGTTCCTCCCTCCTCTACGCGGCTTTCGTACTCGATGTGGCGGTCAATGCATACGTCTTCCTCGGTATCGTGGTTGAGGTCTGGCACTGGTTGTTCTTGTCCTGGCTGGAGATCACGTTGCTTTCTTTCGTGGCCTTCGTTAGCTTGTTGTAGAAGTGTTGTTAGCCCTTCCTCTGGACTGCTCTTGTGCTGCTATGTATCTGTGTATGGTCGGTTGTTAGTGCTGTACGTATGCTTCAATATCTTGCTGGTAGTGCTAGTTGGCCGTCTTGAACTACTCTGTCGCGCTCGCCATACTGAGGTGTTCTGCTTCCTGGTCGTTGTGTATGTCAAGTAGGTTGCTCGCTGCTTGGAATCGTTGTGCTGCCTGTGCTGCCTCTTGTGCTGCGGCAACCTCATGGTCGAGTGACGCTTGCGCTTGTGCTCGTTGTGCTACGTATAATGCGCCCTTTCCCTCTCGGCTGTGGTGGTGTTGTGCGCACCATCTGGAATATGAAGCTTCATAGGCTAGGCATTGCTGCAGAGAGTGTATCTTTTATTTCGCCACCATCATGTATGGGCCATGTGGTTGTGCTATCTCTTCTTGTTGAAGTCCGTACTGTTGGTGTGTATGTTGAATTGAATGCTGCGTGCGCTCGTTTGTAGTTTGCTCTGCTCTGAGTATGTCCTGCGCGTTAGTGATGCTAGTTGAGAGTCGTTGGTCTTGACGTGATGCTTGCTTTTCGCGTAACTCTTGTCGTAGTTCTACAATGGTTCTGGCTCTCTGCGTGACTCCTTCTGCCCAAGATGTGTTGAAGCGTATTGGTCGTTCTGTGCTCGTACTGGCCTGATTTGTGTGGTAATGGTGGGCTTGTTCAATAAGACTCTCTATAGGTTGGTGTTTTGCTCATTTTGTCTTGCTGTGCTCGGCTTCACGTTGTGCTGTTTCTTCTTGACGTGTTGCCGTCGCCGCCGGCTTGCATGCGTATCTCTGCTTGTCGTAGTGCTTGAATGTGCTCACGTGTGTCGTGGTAGTCGTTGGACAGGTGGTCGCCTGCTGCTTGTAGTTGTCGTATAGTCTCTTCTGCTGCTTGTAGTAGTGGCAGTAGTCATCGTAGGAGTAGTCGTAGTAGTAGTGGTAGTAGTAGTAGTAGTCGTAGTAGTAGTCGTAGTAGTAGTAGTAGTAGTAGTAGTAGTAGTAGTAGTAGTAGTAGTAGTAGTAGTAGTAGTAGTAGTAGTAGTAGTTAGTAGTAGTAGTAGTAGTAGTAGTAGTAGTAGTAGTAGTAGTAGTAGTAGTAGTAGTAGTAGTAGTAGTAGTAGTAGTAGTAGTAGTAGTAGTAGTAGTAGTAGTAGTAGTCGTAGTAGTAGTAGTAGTAGTAGTCGTAGTAGTCGTAGTAGTAGTAGTAGTAGTCGTAGTAGTAGTAGTAGTAGTAGTAGTAGTAGTAGTAGTAGTAGTAGTAGTAGTAGTAGTTAGTAGTAGTAGTAGTAGTACAGTAGTAGTAGTAGCAGTAGTAGTAGTAGTAGTAGTAGTAGTAGTAGTAGTAGTAGTAGTGGTAGTAGTAGTAGTAGTAGTAGTAGTAGTGGTAGTAGTAGTAATAGTAGAAGTAGTCGTAGTAGAAGTAGTAGTAGTAGTAGTAGTAGTAGTAGTAGTAGTAGTAGTCGTAGTAGCAGTAGTATAGTGGTAGTAGTAGTAGTAGTAGTCGTAGTAGTAGTACTTGTAGTTGTTGTTATTGATGCTGTGCTCTGGCCTCCTTGTCCATGATTTGTTGAGCAGCTTTGAGTTCTGCAATTCTTCACTCGTTGGCGTGGAGGTCGTCGTATGCTGTTTTGAAGAGTGCTTTGAGCTTCTGTGTCTCCTCGTCAGTGTCGGTGTTAGGTATGGTGGCTTTGAGTGGGACGAATGGTGGCCGCTCGCGTGGGTAGGAGTTGAGCTGCAAGTCTTGTGCGCGTGGTGATCGTGATTAAAGGCTGGGTGTGTGCTGCCTGTTGCTGATCAGCTCCTTCTCAATATTCGCATACGTCTTGGTCTTGTGGATCTTGTCCTCGTGCCGCTGCTGAGCCAGTCCAGTCTTCCTCCTCCTCCTCCTCCTCCTCCTCCTCCTCTGCTCCTCCACCACCTTCCCTCGGTGGGGTCGAGGCACTCGAACGTGTCCAGCACGCCGCTCTCGTCGGCGCCGCCGATGGCGTAGAGCCTCCCGCCGACGGCGACCAGCACGTGCGCCGAGCGCGCCGCGTTCATCGGCGGGCCCGGGGACCACCGGCCCGTCTTCGGGTCGAGGACGTCGACCGAGGCGAGGGCCGACTTGCCGTCGGAACCGCCGCACACGTAGACCTCGGGCGGGGTGTCACTTTTTCTCTTACCGGCGTAAAGGGGGTCCAGTGGTAGAGATCATAGAGACGACGGAGGGCGCGGGGAGGCGGGAGGCGGCGAGAGGGGGGAGGCAAGCTAGGTGCGCTCGCAACATATCTGACACCCTACACCTCTCCTCCCACCCAACCCTTTCCATTCAACTGGTTGTTCTTCCATCCGCCAACGCGTGTCATGGCGGACCTGGAACACAAACGAAAGACCCGTCGTGTTATGCACAGTCGGAAAAGGGGAGCCGAGTACATTGGAGGAGGGAAAAGAAGAGATGGTGGATGAACAGGATGAAAGGTAGAAAAGGAGGACGAGGAAGGAAGACGCGGACGAACATCAGCAGTAGCAGCAAGAACTGGAGTGGAAGGAGCGGGAGGATCACGAGGACCAGGGGAAGGTGGAAGAGGGTGCTGACAAGGATGAGGAAGGGCTCGGATCAAGAGAAGTGGCCCGCGTTGGGGCCAGAGCGCAATTCTGAATCACCCGAGCAGAGCGCCGGTCCTAAAAGAAGGCCAGCGCTGCAACAAGAGCACACTTTCGAAACACCAAGAACGCTCCGATGGGGAAACGCCATGGCAAGTACCACGCCATGTTAGCCAGCGTGGACCCCAACCAGTAAGTTATTGCTGTACTGTGGATGCGTAGGCCATGTTTAGCTATCTGCGTGACGCAGGCCATGTGGTGTAAGCCGTGGTGCAAGCTACGGCAGGTTCGTGTCGTGCCGACCCCAGCGTTGGTTTTTGACACCGCGGGGATCGTTCAACCTTGAACGATCGGCTGCTGCCGCAACGTCCGATCGTTCAACATCGATCGATTCTGGGTCGCCGGCGGCGTTCAACCTTGAACGCCCGCGCTGGGGTCGCCGCTGGTCGACACGACGCAAACCTACCGTACGTGGTGCAGGCTGTGCGGTGCAACCTCGACGGACCCCCCAACCGGGAAGCGGCAGCGCGGTGGCGACCGCGGCGAAGCCTCGGCAGAGCCCCCCAGCCGGGGGGCAGCGAGGCGGCACCGCGGCGGCGACCGCGGCGAAGCCTCGGCGGACCCTCCCCGAGCGGGCGGCAACGAGGCGGCAACGGGCGGCGATGCGGCGAAACTTCGACGGATCTCAGGGGTTCTCGACGCCTCCAGCTCCTCCTCGTCCTCCTCCTCCTCCTCTTCCTCCTCCTCCTCCTCCTCCTCCTCCTCCTCCTCGTCCTCCTCCTCCTCCTCCTCCTCCTCCTCGCCCTGGCTTCGCCTGGCGCCAGGCCAGGCAAGCCCCGGACAGGGCGCTCCAGCTCCCGCAGCCCCCAAGTGCAGACACTGTTTGGGGAATCGAGCCCTGTGCACAAATCAAAAAGGCGGAGAGGCGGCGGAAGATCTCCTGGACAGCGTCGGGGGAGAAGGGGGTAATGTCCATCTTGCGTAACTGTGGAGCGCTCGCACGCGCGCGCTCGGCCGAGAGGGGCCGCTGTGGGCGAGACTGACCTCGGTGGGGGAAACAACGGCCCGTGATCGACGGTGCACTGACGACAGATCGGCGATGGGCCCTGATGGAGACCCCCCCGCGCCCCCGTCGGCGGCGAGCGAGGGGGGGAGACGAGAAGGAGAAGGCCCTCTCAGAAGGCGGCGGCACTTCTCAGACGCCCTCGTGCCTTCTGAGGAGCCTGTTTTGTCGTCGGCGGAGGCCCGGAAACCTTCTCCGACGCCCGGGTGACTTCCGAACCTCCTGAGAAGGCCCCCTCCTCCGCCGCTGGTCCTGGGCAGAGTCGGGACGCCCAAGCTGAAGGGGCCCCAGGACACCCAAATAAAGACACACAAATAAAAAGACTCCCCATATTTTCCAATGTTTTCGGGGCTTTCGTCTTCCCCCCCCACTTCCCATACCTTCCCGTATTTTCTGGGGAATCGACGATTCAATCGTGTCTGTGCGTTTTTGTTTCCCTCCTGGCAGGCCCCGGCTGGCGAGAGAGAGAGGCCATCCGGGCGCACGCTCCCGTGGAGCACGGAGGTGCGCGGATCCGCTGCGCGGGCGCGCCGGGTCCACGGCCCCTCGGGGAGTCGGGAGCGGCCAAGGGGGAGGTGTCCAAGAGGGGGGGTGCAAATCATGGCCGGCGGCACGTGCGCGGCCCCGCGGGGGGGCTGGGGACGTCATGAAATAAGAGGAGGCGCCACGAGATCTGAGGACATGTCATGGCCCCCGCCATGACATCCACCCCCCCTAGTCATCACCCCCCTCCTTGCCGCCCCCGAGGGAGGGCGCGCCCGAGGCAGGAGGTCGGCGCCGCCCCGGTCTTCGCGGCGGAGGAGCGCGCCGGCTCGCGGGTTCTGCACGCTCGGGGGGCAGCTGCTGGGAGGCCTTCGTCGGGAGGAGTAGGGAGGACGGAGGCCCGCTGGGGGGCTGCAGCGCGGGATCGAGCCGCGGAGTAAGCTTTTTTGTTTGTTTGTTATGTTTGTTTTGCTTTCTTCTTCTTCTTATTATTATTATTACTACTTTTTTTTTAGAAATATATGAAACAGCGGGATTAAGCCGGATTAAACAGATTAAGCGGGATTAAGCCGGATTGAGCAGACTTACGCTGGATGAAGCTGGAGTAAGCCGGGTTGGGCCAGATTTTGGACCAGGGCAGAATCAGAAGCTTACCTCCCAGAAGTTGCATCCGAACTGCGCGGAAGCAAGACCCGTCGCCAATCCGCGCGCCTGAATCCATGATTGCGCTTCCTCGAGCAATCGGGAGTCGATGCTCCTGATTGGCAACCAAAGTCACCCTGAGCTCAGGATGGATCACATTCTCAGATCATCGCCAAGCTGTTCTCCGTGCAGAGTTGATGGTGGCAGGCTGCCGCATGGGCCTGTACGTTCAAGAAAACATGTGAGCATTCAGAAAGCAGACCTCTTGCTGATCGGAATCTTCTCTACAGTTGGACCTAGGCCAGAACATGATCGACCCACGAACCCGGAAAGGAATATAGAAATGTAAGGCATTGCAACAGTTCAAAGACACCCGATTGGGCGACGGGCACATGCAATGCTGAATGTATCGATGATGACGTACTGTGCCGACGGCTGTGCTGTGCTACGCCGTGCTGAACTGCGATGTGCCATGCCGCGATTGTGCTCTATATATATATAGCGTTGTGGATCGAGTCATCCCTGGCATCCGAGTCCTCACCGAACTGATCTGGAGCGTAAGCTCGAGCTGCCTGAGCCGATGGTAGCTGCCCAAGAACTAATCGACAGAGGGAACATGCCAGGAGGACGCGCCGCGGAACGTCCCAAGGGACGCGCCAGGCGACGTGCCAGGGGACGTGCCATGGGGCATGGGGACGCACCGCGGGACGTGCCAAGGGGACGCGCTACGGAACGTGCCAATGGACGTGCCGAGGGACGTGCCAGGGGACGCGCCGCGCGACGTGCCAGGTGGACTCGCCACGGAACGCGCCAAGGAACGTGCCAAGGTGCATAGTTGAGTGTATCGATCTTGATGTACCGTGCCGACGGCTGTGCTGTGCTGGGCCGTGCTGAACTGCGATGTGCCATGCCGCGATTGTGCTCTATATAGCGTTGTGGATGGAGTCCTCCCTGGCATCCGAGTCCTCACCGAACTGATCTGGATCGTAAGCTCGAGCTGCCTGAGCCGATGGTAGCTGCCCAAGAACTAATCGACAGAGGGAACATGCCAAGAGGACGCGCCGCGGAACGTCCCAAGGGACGCGCCAGGCGACGTGCCAGGGGACGTGCCATGGGCACGCACCGCGGGACGTGCCAAGGGGACGCGCTACGGAACGTGCCAATGGACGTGCACCGCGCGACGTGCCAGGGGGACTCGCCACGGGACGCTCCGCGGAACGTGCCAGGCAACATGCCAGGCTGCAATGCTAAGGGTATCGATATTGATGTACCGTGCCGAGGGCTGTGCCGTGCCTGGGCGACCTGAACACGTGAAAACACGCGTTTCGCTCAAGACGTTGTCAACACATCCTCATGCTAGACATCGTCGCTGGGCAACCTGGACACGTGCAAACAGGCGTCTCGCTCGAGACATCCTCAACAAATGCTCATGCTAGACATCCGCCTGGGCGTCCTGGGCACGTGAAAACAAGCCTCTGGTTCGAGACATCCTCAACAAATCCTCATGCTAGACATCTGTCTGGGCCACCTGGAGGCGTCTCGCTCGAGACATCCTCAAGACCTGGGCACGTGAAAACAAGCAATCCACTTGAGAGATCCTCAGAATTGAGGTCCCCAGGAGAGGACAATCTATAACACAAAACAAGCGTTTCGCTCGAGACATCCTCAACCAATTCTGAAAAACAAGCGTTTCGCTAGGGACATCCTCAATTTTTAATTCGCCGGACCTACGCGACCTCGTTATTTATCGCAAAAGAAATTCGCCGGCCCTACAGCCGTCAAAACCGGGGGAAGCCAACTAAAAGAGAACCCTGGGCCTTTGCCCTTTCCGGGAAAAACTCCCTCAAGGACATGAGACCCTGAGGCGGCCAAAACAAACAGAACATCCAAGGGATCCTCCCCAGGATGCACAACAGCATGCAACAAACACGAATAACACTAGGGTACCCTCCCCGAACCGACCTTGATCTTCTACCTCGGTCCGACCGACTGTACTTCGATTGGGCTTGGTCTGGTCTTTCTTTGTGCTCTGCTGATGAATCCAGTTTCGACCCTACGATCGGTTGTTGCTGAAATCCGCCGACCCTGTCGGCGTGTGTGAGGGGCTTTTCCGTTCGAGTCGGGCTTTTTCGTTGGAGTCGTCGTCTCCGTCCTCCCGCTTCACTTGCCTGGGCCCTCTTCCTCATGCGCGCCGTCCAGAGCAAACTCGAACAGCAGGCAGCATCGCAGGGGAATCGACGGGAAGCCCCTTCACTTTTTGATCCCTTCCCCGCGCCTGGGTGGGGGGGGGGGTCCCGAGGGGGCTCCCGGGGGGTCCTGTCGGGCCGGGCGAAAGGGGGGATAGCAATGGGGGGGGGTTTGAGAATCAGCTCACGTGGCTGATTTTCCCGGCGCCTCCCGGCGCCGGAGGCGGCCATGTATCTAGGAATGGGCCCCTCGGCGGGGCCGAAACCAGCTGCATGCCGCAAATTTCGTACCCCCCTTTCCGAATTCCCCCCCTTTCGTCCGGCCCGATCCCGGGGGGGGCCGATTGGCCGCAGGCCCCGTGCGCGGCCCGCTGCCCTCGCGGGGTGCGCGCGCGCCCCGCAGGCGCGCGCTCCGCCACCGCCGCCGTGGGCGGCGGCGCCCCGCAGCCCCACCGCTGCTGCCGAGCCGCCGGAGACGTGGGCCCCGCGGGGGGCGGAGCGGCCGGCAGCGAGGGGAAGCGCGGGCCCCGAGGGGAAAAACGGGTCCCGGACCCCTGGGGGTGTAGAAAGCCCGAGGGTGCAGGAGGAAAAAGCCCGAGGGTGCAGCAAGAAGGCCCGAGGGCACCACAAGCACCAGGGTTTTGCTTCTGCCCTCGGGTTGCTGTTTCTACCCTCGGGTTTTGTTATACCCGCGGTTTCCCCCTCAAAAAAACATCTGTCATCCCGAGTTGTTTTCTGACGGTCCCAGGGCTCCGAAGGGCCCCAGGCGTCCGAAGATGGCGGACCTCCTGCAGGATCCTGGGGATCGGACGCTGCGAAGAAGTGCACCATTGCGAGAAATCACGACCAGAGCCCTGGAACCCACCTTTCTGCTACGTTTCTGGAGTCGCATCGGTGAGGCGGCGAGAGGCCAAGCGCTTGCCAGGACGCCCGAACACACACGCGGCTAGACTCTTTGCTTTGTCAGCGGCGGAGGCGGACGCCACCACGTTCGGTCAGCCTGTGGGCGGGGCTGTGCAGCGGCACGCTGGACAAGCGGAAAAGAGGCGGGCGGCCGCGGAAGGGGGGAGAGAACGCGGGGAGGCCCCGGGCGCAGAGAAGCTTCGCCGCGAGGAGCGCGACGCGGGCGGCTTCGGGCCCCGCACACCAGTGTGCCAAAGGTGAGCGGCCAGTGCGAGCTGCCGCAGGACGAGGGCAGCGTGGGTCCCGCCGCAGCCGTCGTCCACTGGGCGGGCGGCAGCGCGGGTGAGCTCCACGCGCGGGAGACCAGGAGGCCACGCGCTGCCTGCGGCGGGCTCGCGTGCCGTCGTGGACTCGGCGTTGGCTTCTGGCACCGCGCGGGTCGCTCGGCCTTCCACGGCCGCGGCCTCCCCACAGCGCAGAGCGCCAGGCGTCGGCCGACTCGTGAGGGGGCCCTGGGACACACAAACAAATACACACAAAGAACAGTATTCCCAATCTTTTCCCATATTTTCTGGGTTTTTGTCCCCCCCCACTTCCCATAGTTCCCGATCTTTTCTGGGAGTCGACGATTCCATTGTGTCTGTGTGTGTGTGTGTGTTTTTCCCCTCTGGAGATTCTGGGCCACTGGCGGCCTTCGGTCTCGCACGCCCTCGCTGGGGGCCACCGCCGCGCCGACGCGGCGCGAGCCTGCCGTGCGCACGCGGGAGGCCGGGCGCACCCGTCGGAACAGCCACGTGGCGGCTCCACGTCGGGGCGGCCTCTGCCCGTGGTGACCTACATAACCAGCCTCGAACGTATCCCTATCCCTAAGATTAACAAGCCCAAAGTCGACGACAATCTTAGGGATGCGCCCTCAGAAACGGAGGGAATATCCCTAAGATCGGCATCGAGATGAGGCGATGCCAATCATAGGGATAGGGATATGTTCCAGGCTGGTGACTACAGGTCGGGACTGCGTGGAGAGCGCACGCGAGAGGACACGAGATCCTCCCGAGGGCCACGTCGCCACAGGAATGCAAGGGGACGTGGGTCGCGAGGCTCAGGACACAGGGGTGCCCTTGGTTTGGCAGGGTCGGCCTACTAATCCAGGCCGCCTGCAGGGTGCGCCGCTCTTCGGGTCGGATGAAGAGGGGGCTGTAGTACAAGGGGGGGTTGCCGAATCGACTCAAGCAGCTGACTCTCCTCGCGCCTCCTGGCGCCGGAAGCGCCCATGTGCCGAGCAAGGCGCCCAGCGGCGGAGCCGAAGCCAGCAGCTGCTTGCAGCAGATCTCGTCCCCCCCCCCTCGCCCTTTCCCCTCCTTTCGTCCGATCCGATCTTTTGGGGGGCGCGCTGCCCCGGGATCCCCTCCGAGACGCCCATCGAAGGCCCCGAGGCGGGCGCCCCTGGACGCCCCCTCCAGCACCAGGTATCGCCGAAATTCTGGGGCTGGACATTGACACCAACACCAGCAAAGGGAATCGCTTCCACTGGAAGACGATCCAGGATTTTGGAGCTGGTGGTGATCTCTCGGCAAGCCAAGAAGCCCGAGTATGACCAACATCAACGAGATCATAATCATCGCCCCTCAGTGGAGGCAACAGCAAATACTGGTGTTGGTGCCAACCTCTAGGCCTCCAAAAACGTGCGTATCCAACCATCGCCCAGGCAGTCCACATCATCTGAGTTCAGCCTCCTGGCGCCAAAATAGCGGACGAGCTCGCCGCGCTACCGTTTATTTCCCCCCCCCATTTTTCCCCCTCTCAGGACCAATTCGTCGCCCTCCTCCGTCACGAGGCAGGCAGCCGCCAGGCCCTGGCGGGGTATGTCCATCGGCGTGTGGTGCTCCCATGCCTCCGTCTCGAAGCTGAAGAACTCAACGTCGTTCAGCGCGGAGACCGCGTCGTGCACGGCCTCGACCTCGTCCACCTCTTTCTCGGCGCCGCTCCTGTCCTGCCCACCAATGGCGAAGATGCCGGCGCTCGTGGCCACCATGGCATGGTAGGAGCGCGCCTGCAGCATTGGCTCCATCCTCATCAAGTACACGCAAGAGTGACCCTAGCCAAGAGTGACCGTTGGTGTGCGGCTGTCGGTGGCCGCGGCGAGGCCAAATCCGAGCACGCAAGCCAGTGATGGGGGGAACCCTGGGCCCGCACCAATGGGACAATGCGGCGAAGGGTCGCTCTTGTGTAGCCGATCCTCTCCCAACTGTGCGTCAGGAGGTTCAGGCCCTCCACTGACTTGAGGTCCCTCACGTTGTCGAAGCCGCCGGCGACGTACAGCACAGGGCCGTTGCCCGAGCCCTCTTCGTGCAGGGCGCAGGCGAGCGTCGTGCGCCTTTGCAGGCTCGGCTGGTTGCGGAACCAGGGCGCCCACTGCTCCCGCTCGAGCTCAAACACCTTTTTGTTTGTCATGTGTATATGCATGTGTATATTTAGTCCTGTGTTTGTGTGTGTGTGCGTGCTGCTTCGCGTGCTTGTCTTTTGGGTGCTTTGTTTTTTGATTATTGTTGAACTTCCACGTCTGGAGAATAATTGTCGTCGATTCCCTCCCACCAGTGCTCATTGACTTGTGATTTGTTATCTAAAACCCTGCGCTCGCACCTTTAATAGTATTACTGTGATTCTTAGTCGTCGTACTCCAACAATTGAATCGAAGTATGTACTCAAGCATGCACATATGTGTATATGTGTACAATCCTCAAACAGTGCTTCCACTGCGGGTTCTTATTTCTTTTCTGAGGAACTGTGCCTGCCCGTGGGTCTGGCAGCTGTGGTCGCCGTCGCCGCCCCATCGCCGCCCCGTCGCCGCCCGTCTAGTGGGCCTGCCCGTCGGTCCGGCGGCTATATGGTCGCCGTCGCCTCCCCGTCACTCTGGGCCTGTCCGTCGGTCTGTCGGCTATGTGGTCGCCGTCGCCGCCCCGTCGCCGTCCGGGCCTGCATTACTTTACATTGCTTTGCGCTACTTTGCGTCGCACTCCGTTGGTTTGCATTGCTTTCTTTGCTGTGCTTTCTTTGCTTTGCGTTGATTCGCCTTGCCTGGGTTTCACTGCTTCGCATTGTCCTGCATTGTTTTCCATTGCTATTGCAACATATGTGCTGCAAAGTAGATTGCGTCACATAGGTCTCACCACACATGCACCAAACGTTTGCACCACGTAACTTACAACACATACAAAGGTGCACATACACACATCTATACACACTGTAAATACATACGTCTACACATACACATGCACATGCACACACATACGAATACACATACACACATGCATGCACACATACATACATACATACATACAGACAGACAGACAGACAGACAGACAGACAGACATACATACGTACATCTATACGTAAGTGTACACATATGGCACAACATAAATTGCACCACATAGTTTGCTCCGCATAACCTACATCACATACAAGCTTAGCATAATGCGCACACATAGTTTGCACCGGGAATATTACTCCACGTAATGTGCTAGATCACAATGTTTGGGGTCCGCGCTTGCGAACACACATATGCAGTTATACGTATGCACAAACCATATATGCGTGTTTGACCATATGTGTATTGGTAGACATTTATGTATCTACGTACGTATGTATGTATGCATGTATGTATGCGTGTACGAGTGTATAAATGCCTGCCTGTTTGTCTGTCTGTCTGTCTGTCTGTCTGTAGATATACATATGCATACACAAGGCTGCACGCCATGCACCTTGGTCCTTGATGCTTGGTATTCAGGCGGGAGGGCAGGACAATCAAACGACCATTTTAGCGGTAACTCCCTGTTACGTTTTCCGACATCGTCGTTCGAAGCACGTGTTTTCGCTATTCATCCCTCATGCTTCCTCTTGCTCTTCCTTATTCTCGCCCTATTCTGCGAATGTGTCCCAATTCTCCTTAGCTCTTTTTGCGGAGGTTCCTCCTCGGAGAGCCTCTTGGGGGCCTCACGACTATTTGTAAGGGGTTCTTGGGGCCGTCTGGGAGCCTCCTGGGGTCCTTCTGGGGGGCTCTGCGGGCTTCCTCAGGCCACCCTGCTTCCAACCGCGGCCTCCCTGAACGACCCACACGCACCTAGGCTCGCTGGCACTAAGACTCACTCATTTTCAGACCGACCCGGTCACGATTTTGGAATGCTTCGGCAACGTCTCGGGGCCACCTTAGGCCGTCATGGGGCTCTCTTCGGGAAATCTTGGGACCCTCTTGGGCCGTCCTGGAGCTTTCTTGGACTGCCTGGAAGCCCTTTGGGATAGTTTTGGAAAACGTTGTTTTGCTCCCTGGGCGGTCTCGGGCGCCTGGCAGACCGAGCATTCCCGAAATTATACAACAATTGTGGGACATCGTTGTGTTTTGTTCCTGCCTTTCGAATGCCTTCTGGGGTTCTTCTCTTGGTCGTTTTCGGGCGTCTGGTGGGTGTCTGGCCGTCAGGGCCGCCCTCCTGACCGATTCGGGTCCGTTGCCTAGGCCCGAAAGCTCGGTGGACCTTCTGCAGGGGCGTCCAGCCCCCCCCCCGCCACGGGCACGAGCCCCCCCCCCCTACACATATAGATGTATATATACACATGTGTATATATGTATATAGAGATGTATATGTGTATGTATGTGTGTGTATGTGTATATACACCTGCATGTATGCCATGCATGTACGTATGCATGCTATGCATGCATGCATGAAAATCCGTCAGTCTGCCTGTCTGTCAGTCTGTCGCTGTTTGTCTGTCTGAATGTATGCATGCATGTATGTCTGCATGCATGTATGTATATATGTATATGTACGTAGGTATGTATGCGCCCTCGGCCCCTTGCTCGAACTGCGCCACGGGGCCCTTGACTACAAAAATAACGGTTCCCGCCTGAGACTTCCCCCAAATAGTTCAGGTATCGCGCTCTCGCTCGAGACTTCCTCACAATTATATACGGAATCGCGCTCTCGCCTGGGACTTCCCACTTAGTCAGGAATCGCACTCTTGCTGCGCAGGAATCGTGCTCTCGCTTGGGACTTCCTCACACATTGATCATGGATCGCGCTTTCGCCACTCAGAAATTGCACTCGCTCACAGGTTCTCTACAAATTATTTAGGAATGGTGCTCTCGCCCAATAGCTCACCAAACTGCAATGTATAACGGCCCGCCCGCCCGACACGCCGTCAGGGTCCGCCCGCCCGACCCGCCCGTCTGGTTCAGCACTTTGTGTTCCTGTTCTTACCACCCCTTCTGCTAATGTCTCTCGTGCTCTATCTCCCTCTCCGTTGTCCCTTCCCTCCTCCATTCTCCCCTGCTTTAGGGGCTGCGCCAACTAAGCAAGGCACGTGAGGAAAATAGGGTTTTGGGGCCGAAATTCTCGCCGTGCGTTTTTTTGACATTTTACTGCGTCGGCGGTTGTGGATGGTTTCGCTGTCGTCGTCGCTTGTCCAGACGCACTTCGATTTGAATCCTCTTGTGGGCGATATACAACTTAATTTCTTCTGTGTGGATTGCAAACAACATCCTGTTGCGATGCTTTTCACACGGATTTTGTAGGCGAGTTGCAACTTGATTTCTATATTGCGCAGATTGCAAGTGAAACCTTTTTTTTTGCGCGGCGTTCCAACAATATTTCGGTTGTGGGCGATTTACAATTCGATTTCCATTGTGGGTTACGCAACGAATTCCTTCTGTGCGACTTTACACTGCGATTCCTTCTGCGGGGGATTGGCACATTGATTACAGTGGCGTGGATTCCACATGGAACCCCTTTGTGCGACGTTCCAGAAGGGTTCTTTTCGTGGGATACATAGATACGGATACATATGTGTGTATATATTTGGAAGTATCTCCATCTCTCAAAATAATTGTGCTGCAAGCGGCTTCGCCTCCAATCTGGTTTTTAGAAGTAATCGCATCCACCCCCAATCGGATCCCATGAGCAGTGGGTCCCCCCTAATAGGGTTCTATTAGAGGCGGCTCAATCCCCAATGGGATTCGACTAAACGTGGGTCCACATCTAATACGATTCTACTCCAGCTGCTTCCATCCTTTTTGGAATTCTGGTGGAGGTGGATCCACCTCTAATGGGATTATATTCGAGGTGAACCCACACCGCATGCAAGACAATTGCCCGTGACCCCGTCCATAACAGGATCCCAGTAGAGGTGGATCTGCACCTCATGGGGTTCTGTTAGAGCTGAGTCCTTTTTTTCTCGGGTTCGTACTACACATTGCTTCATCTTTGATCAGATTATGTTCGAGGTGGATCCACCTTCAGTCGGATTCCACTAGCAGCGGGTTCATCCCTGATGGAGTTATATTTGATGTGCCTCCGCATGGCTTCGCAGGCATCGTATGGTATAGCAAGTTATCGAAGTGCTGGGAACTGGGAAAGGATAGCAGGTGTCAGCAAGTATGTTTCGGTCTCGGCAAAGCATGTCAAGGGCTAGCAGGGCTTGGTCGGGCCTATGAAGGCTTAACTGGGCCTGGCACGTGGCTAGCAGAACTTATCAAGACATATCAGAGGGCCAGCGCGGCTCAGCCGCGCTAAGCAGGGTTCGGCTAGGCCTAGCAGGGCCAGCAGGGCTTAGCATGGCATCGCAGTGGCGGGTCGCAGGTGACCCCAAGGACCCTGGATTCGACTGGAGGTGGTTCCATTTCCAATAAGATCGAAACGGAGGTGGATCCTTCTCTACGAGCATTCTATTCCAGTTGGCTTCATCCTTAGCCGGTTTCGAGTGGAGGTGGGGCCACTTGTACTGGGATTCTAGTAGGGGGTGGGCCCGCCTTTACTGGATCTTTGCTTGTACCCGCGGTTCCGTCCTTAACAGGATCCCTTTAGAGGTGGGCCCACCGCTAAAGGGATTCTATTACATGTGAGTCCTTCCTTGATCGCAAGTTCTGCGGGGATTGCTTCATCTGCAGTGGGATTCTGTTAGAGGTGGACCCACCTTTAATAGGATTGTATTAGAAATGTGCCTTCCCCCATCAGAATGCATGAGAGGTGTCCCCATCCCTGATCTGACTATACTGCAGGTGGCTCCCACCCTGCTCGGATTCCGTTAAAAGTGCGACCCTTCTTGATAGGATTGTACTACAAGCGTCTCCATCCCTGATCGGACTTCATTCGAGGTGGCGCCATACCTAATACGACTATATCAAAAATGGGCCCATCCCTATTAGGACGCTGCCAGAGGTTACTCAATCCATCAAAGGATTGTATTAGAAGGTGTAACATCACCAGTGGGGTTATATTAGAGACGGCTACATCCTCAATCGGATACGATTCGGTGCTGCCCCGTCCCCAATAGGATTGATTCAGAGGTGGGCCCGTCCCTGAGGTGGCCCCATCCTTGGATCGGATTATGTTAGAAGTCGCTCCAACTCCAAGAGGATTAGATTAGAGGGGCATCGAATCTAAATCCAAAATAATATGGCCGAAGTGTATTAACCCGTGATAGGGCTCAATTAGAGGTGGCCCCATCACCGTTCGGATTCCATTGGGGCGGGATCCAAAGCTCACAGGGTCTCCGTCGAGGCGACTCCATCCCTGATGGAGTTATGGACGAAAGATGGTCCCACCTGACCTGGGATTGTACTAAAGGTGGTCCTACATCTAATCGAATTATAGTACACGTCGCTCCATCTCTAACGGGCTCCCAGTAGAAATGACTCTACCTCTGGCAGGATTCCCTTAGAGGTGAACACATCCTTTCCTAAATTTTTAGCACGGATGGCGGTACCCTTAATCGGAACCCGTTACAAGTGGACCCACCCGTCGTAGGATTCAAGTAAAGATGGACACAGAAAGAGAGAGAGAGAGAGAGGGGGAGAGAGAGAGAGAGAGAGAGACCTCAATAAAGAACGAGAGGGAGAGAGAGAGAGAGAGAACAAGAGGGACATATGCATACCGACAGAGAGAGAAAGACATAACACAATATACATAAAGAGAGAGAGAGAGAGAGCAAGCAGGGAAATATACCTATAATGATACTGCCCCAGACGCATTCCTGGATCATTGCTCCGCCACCTGCTCGGTTGGTTGGCATAGCAGGCAACGCGTGTTGTCCCCTTTTCACCAGGGCTGACGTTCTGGCTGATCCCCATCGGCACTCTGGATTTGCGCAGTCCCTCACCACATCAGGGCCCGATGCTGCTGGGCACATAAAGACGAAACTTGGGTCGAAACGGTTACGGAAGGCGGTGGTGTGGAGTAGTCGGGGTCGCACACGCTCTTTTCCCTCTGTTGTCGGCGAAGACGCAAACCCGCAGAGGATGGCACAGGCGCGCCTGCGGCGCTGTCGCAGGGGGGGGGGGCAAACAAAAACAACACAACAACATGTTGGGTTTGCATTTGTTTTCTGCCCCACACCCCCATGTCGCAAACCCTCCCCCTCTGGTCACGAATCTGATTGTGCGAAGGGTCACACATTCGAGATCGTGACCAAACGGCGCTCCCCCCTCTCTCAGGCCCCCCCCCCCCGAAGCCCCAAGCGCGCCTACGGCACTGGCGCAGGGGGGGCACCAAAAAACAAATGTTGGGTTTGCATGTTTTATTGTCTGATGATTTTTCTTTATTTCTGCCCCGCCCCCCCTCCCCAGATCGCAAACCCTCACCCCTGGTCACGAATCTGATTGTGCGATGGGGCCACACAACCGAAATCGTGACCAAACGGCGACCCCCGTCTCTCAAGCCCCCTCCCCGAAACCCCAAACGCATTCCTGGCCATGCCCCAACGACGCGTGAGAAAACAAGAAACGGAAACGGAAACGCTTCAGACTGAGCTCCCTCCCAAAAGAAACACATCGAAATACCCACCCACAAAAAAACGAAAAAGCACAACAAACCGACACATCTCAAAAACGAAGGGGGGATTCGGCCCCGTAGCCGGAAGATATACACCCTCAGAGGGTATGATCGAAAACGAAGAGGGCGGGTATCGAGGGTTTGTAATATACATGTTCAGTGGCACACGAGCACATGCGAGCGAACAGCCTCAGCATGATTGTTGCTATTGAGTTCCCATTGCTACATAACAGTTATTGTTGATCCCCCTTCTGGTGCCAGTTGTGTTTTTCAACTGAACTGCTCGTCCCTGTGTTTTTCAACTGAACTGCTCCCGCCTGATATTTCCTTCGCGCTCTCGCGCAAAACTTCCTCACACATTATGCATGGGCCGCGCTTTTCGACTGGCACTTGCAAGCAGTTCATTGACACGCCGCGCTCTCGACATTCAAGAATCACGCTCACGCTTTGAACTTCCTCACGGTTTACCTCAGAATCGCACTGTCGCTGGGGACTTCCTCGCGGTTTATGCAGGACCGACGCTTCAGCGACCCGCCCGCTCGACCTGGCCGTCTGGGATCGCTTGCGCGACCCGCCCGTTAGGGCCCGCCTGCCGGGAACGCCCTTCTGTCGCTTGTCTGCCTGCTCCGACATTATCCTTCCCCCGTTGTCCCTTCCCTCCTCCTCCCTTCCCGTGTTTTCCAGGCTGCGCTGACTACACTTGGCAAGTAAGGAAGACATGCCCCCCCAAGGGGGTATGTTCGAAGACGAAAAAGGCGGGTATCGAGGGCTTGTGACAATTTTTCATGCTGACTGACAAACGAGCAGCGAAGAGCGAACCGTCTTAAACTGATCGTTGAGCCTAAATTCTGACAGCATGATTATTGTTGATCCCCTCTCGAGCGCCGAGTGTTTTTCAACTGAAGTGTCTCTCACGGGGCTCGGACCCTAATTCTTACAAGGGAGAACACTGATCCTCAGAATGGGTTGGTGGCCCATGGGTTGCAACAACAGCGGCTCTCGGCTGATACTTTTTCGTGTTTTGCTCTTGCAAGATTGCGCTCTCGTGCGGTCAGGGTGTTCCACATAGCTTCTCCCAGTCGGACTGATACTTCTTCATGCTTCGCTTTTGCAAGATTGCGCTCTCGTTCGGTTTGGGTGTTCCCCCATAGTTTTCTCCCAGTCGGACTGATACTTCTTCATGTTTCGCTTTTGCAAGATTGCGCTCTCGTGCGGTCAGGGTGTTCCCCTTAGTTTTCTCCCAATCGGAATGGGCTCCGACTTCTGGAGCAGGCTCCCACTCCGGGGGCAGGAGCCAACTGCGGGAGCAGGCTCCTGCTCTCCGGGGAAGGGCCGACTCCCAACGGGACGGCGCCAACCCGTCCCCCGTCCCGCCCAGGAGTAGGCTCCTACTGCGGGAATCTGCTCCTACTCGCAGGCGTGGGCTCCTGCTGCTCCCCCTGCTCCAGGAGCAGGAGCCGACTCTCGGAGAAGGAGCCTACTCCCAGAGAGGTCTCCTGCTCCCCCGCTGGGTAGGCTCCCACCCCCCCCCTGGGCCCGGGGAGTGGGCTCCCACTGCGGGAGAGAGCTCCTGCTCGGAGTAGGCTCCCGCCCCCCGGGGGAACTAGGCCCCTACGTGGTCCCGTGGGAGTAGGCTCCTGCCTGCGAGTGGGCTCCTACTCCGGGAGTGGGCTCCTACTCTGGGAATATGAGCCTACTCGAAATAGGAACCTTCTACCGGAGTAGGCTCCCGCCCCCTGGGGAGTAGGCTCCTACTCCCCGGGGGGTAAGCTCTTGCTGCGGTAGGAGTATGCTCCTACTGCGGCAGTGGCCTCCCGCATGGAGTAAGTTCCTACTCCAGGAGGCTCCTACCCAGAATCGGCTCTTACTCTGGGAGTAGGAGCATATTCGGAATAGGAGCCTACTCCGGAAGTAGGCTCCCACTCCCCAGGAATAGGCTCCTACACCCCTGGGAACAAGCTCCAACTGCGGCAGCAGGGTCCTGCCCGGAGTAAGCTCCTACTCCTGGTGGGCGCACCGCAGGGGGCACAATGCGCGCGGGAATCCCGTGTACTTCGTCCAGGAATCGCGCTCTCGCGTGGCGCTTCCCCGCTACCTATTGAAACGCCGCGCCCCCAACCCTCAGCGATCAAGCTCTCGCGCTGGACTCACCCGCGATTCACTTGGGAATCGCCCTCTCGATCGAGAGTTCCTTGCGGTGTGTGCAAGACCGACGCTTCAGCGACCCGCGAACTCGACCTGGCCGTCTGGGCCCGCCCGCCCGACCCGCCCGTTAGGATCCGCCCGCCCGAGTCGTCCGCCTGGTTCTGTCGCTTGTTCTCCTGCTCCTGACCCCAACTTTGCTAATCTCGCTCGTGCTCCATCCTTCTCCCCCACCATTGTCCCTTCCCTCCTCCCTCCATTCCCGTGTCTGAAAGGCTGCGCCAAGTTCACGTGGCCAGTAAGGAAGACATACCCCCCAGAGGGTAGATTCGAAGACGAGAATGGCAGGCATCGAGGGTTTGGGACGTTCATGCCGAATGACACGCGAGCAGATAAGAATGAACAGTATTAACACCAGTGCTGCTGTAGCTGCTGTCTGTACACATGTTCTGCTTTTGTTGTGTCGTGGTTGCTGTGGTTGTTGCTGCTTTCGCTTGTACGTGTATCTGTTCAAAAAACCTCGAAGCTGTTCAGCACCCGGCCGTCGCTGGTCCCGCCGAGCGCGTACAGCCGCCCGCCCGCCACCGCGGTCGACAGGTAGGAGCGCCGCGACTGCATCGGGGGCAGCTCCTGGGGAGGCCCGGGGCGAACCCCCACCGTCGGGGGGAGGCACTGCACGCATTCGCTCGGGAGCACCGTCGAACACGTGGGCGATCTGAGCCCCTGGATACACACAGATCTGTGTCTCGGAGGTGAACGGGGTGAGACCGCAGCAAAACGGAGACCCCCCCACCCGGGAAATCGTTCCGTTTCGTTTCGTTCGCGTCGTGCGTGCGGGCGAGGCGAAGCTGCGTGGGCGCGCGAGAGGAATGAACCCGCCGTTGCTAGGGCGAAGTCAAGACAAATGATTCTCCTCCGCCCGCCCGTCCGGCGGTGGGTGGCGGTGTCCCGCGGTGTCCCGTGGTGTCTCGTGGTGTCCCGTGGTGTCCGCGGCTGCTAGGGCGAAGTCAAGACAAATTATTCTCCCCCGCCCGCCCGTCCGGCGGTGGGTGGCTCGCGGTGTCCCGCGGTGTCCCGTGGTGCCCCGTGGTGTCCCGTGGTGTCCGCGGCTGCTAGGGCGAAGTCAAGAAAAATGATTCTCCCCCACTGGCCCGTCCGTCCGTCCGTCCGGCGGTGGGTGGCTCGCGGTGTCCCGCGGTGTCCCGTGGTGTCCCGTGGTGTCCCGTGGTGTCCCGTTGAGTGAGATCGATAGTGAGATCGATAGTGAGATCGATAATGAGATCGATAGTGAGATCGATAGTGAGATCGATACTGAGATCGATACTGAGATCGATGTGGTGCCGCGAGGTGTCCCGTAGTATCATAAATTCGATAATGAGATCGACAGATGTCCCGTGGTGTCCCGTGGTGTCCCGTTAAGTGAGATCGATAGTGAGATCGATAGTGAGATCGATAGTGAGATCGATGTGGTGTCCCGAGGTGTCCCGTGGTGTCCCGGAGTGTCCTATGGTGTCCCGTTGAGTGAGATCGATAGTGAGATCGATAATGAGACCGATAATTAGATCGAGAGGTGTCCCGCGGTGTCCCGTGGTGTCCCGTGGTCTCCCGTGGTGTCCCGCTGAAAGATCGATAATGGGATCGATAGCGAGACCGACAAATGTCCCGTAATGTCCCGTAATGTCCCGTGGTGTCCCGTAGTGTCCCGTTGAGTGAGATCGATAGTGAGATCGACAATGAGACCGATAATGAGATCGAGAGGTGTCCCGCGGTGTCCCGTGGTGTCCTGTGGTGTCCCGTGGTGTCCCGCTGAGTGAGATCGATAGCGAGATCGGCAAGTGTCCCGTAATGTCCCGTAATGTCCCGTGGTGTCCCGTGGTGTCCCGTTGAGTGAGATCGATAGTGAGATCGATTGAGTCAGATGATGTTGGTTCCCCCCCCTCTCCCCCCTCCACAACCTCCTTATCACCCGAAGGGTGGTCGTATAGGTACACATATATATATATATATATCAGTCTCGAACACGTGCGCTTCGGAGCTCCTTCTCCGCTGGTAAACATGACCAAAAGCATATCTGCGAAGTACGCTTCTTCTCTACAGTAGATCATTGCGGCGGCTCTATGGAGAGACGACCTGCTGCTGGTGTGGCCCAGGTCTATCCTTTATCGACATACCTGTTCATTCTGGTCCAGGTGTCATGTTATATGATGTGTTTCACCATCTCCAGCTACAACATTAACCAGGATATGCGTTTATCCGAGACGTGCTTTACGCAGATGATGCGATTCCACTTTCAAGGTATGGGGGATGTTGTCCATATCTACTCAGTGCTGTTGTTTTGGATGGACGCAAATCTGGTATTGAACTGAACTGGGACAAAACTATCCAGATGCCCGAGTCGTCAAGCAGCGTGGTGGCGAAGCCGACCAGAGAACCCATTACAAGAGTTACAGAAACAGCATGCCCAGGAGGCTTGATCATGCACGATGGGCGGGTGGGAGATTAATTGAACTGGCGACTGGGCGAAGGGAAAGGTGCATGCCAACCGTTGTGCAAGATTATGAAGTATGTTTCAATCAGCAAGGCAAGGAAGTTGCAAATCTGCAGCAGCTGCGTGCTGAGCAAGGTCCTCTACTCCTTGGACTCTTTCTGGCTGCTGAGGACTGATCGGGTAAGGCAGGACGCTTGCCATTGCAATTGCTTGCGAAATATACTGGGTATACCCCATTCTTACTTTGCGAGAATTTCGAATGCTACCGTTCTGATGCGTGCCCTATCTAAACCACGTTCTGCAACATTGCGTGATCGGCAAGGTAAGCTACACAGAAAACGGTTTTGCGAGCAGGCAGATTCTTGTTTGCGGGTGGTGTGTAACGCAGACGGCACGCCCAAGGATTTGGCTCTCCGCTGGCGCAGAGGGGTGCCCAGACAGCAATGGACGCAGTATCATCTGACCATCTCTGAGCAGCTGAAACATGTTTGTGTTCATTCTCTCCTCCCTCCTTCTCCTCCTCCTAGAGGTGCCAGCTGCGGCTCCATCAACTTTTTACTTGCGCTTTCCGCCCACGCGTCCCTCATGGATGTGCGGCTTTCAGCTTCATGGCACGATCGTGTCGTGACGATCTGGGCGGTGGTTTCTGAGACCGCGTCGATCTTTCATCCTCGATCGACGGCGGCTTTCCGATAGTGCAGATCGTTCGGTGCCTGCCGATTCTGGGCCACTGGCGGCGCTCAGCCTTGAATGCCCGCGCTGGGTTCGCCACCGCGTCGACACGACTCGAGCACACGTTGATTAACATGGATCACGGATCCTCGGAAACCTCTGGAGCAACCTGCCGAATCTGCTTCGGCATTGTGCTGGCCTCTCCCACCCTCCACGCACGCGCACACCCAGACGGGGACGGAAGACAGCGGAAGCAGCGTGCCTTCGGCCCCGCAGCCGAGGGCGCACGGGCAGGATTTGTTTGATTTCCCAAGGTTCTCCGAGAGGTCACGAGTGCATCAATGACGTGCACGGTGGTGAATTACCCTCTCAAGCGCCCGACTGCTTCGCCAGAGGCTGTAATGGAACATTGGATCCGCCGACTCCCCTTCCCCCTCCCCTGGGCCTCAAAACTGGATCAGAAGGGGGGGGGGGGAAGCCCAGGAAAGGGGGGCCCACGAGCCCCTTCCGGAGCCAGAACGCCCCAGGACGGGCCCAAATGAGCTCCTAGGCAGTCCAAGAGAGCGTCGACACGGCCCAAGGTAGCCACTCGACGGTCCAATATAGATTTTAGACGGTTCCTGAGGCGATCAGGACAGCCAGAAACGCTCCCATATGACCGCCGAGAAGGCCCCCAAAGGAAAAAATCATTCGACTCCCTACGGGGAACGTGCATGTTTAGCAAGCTCGTTTCTTTCATCTCCCCAGCGTTCACAACGGCTCATTGGCCCTACATAATCGACGGCCCCGAATGCCCCAAAAGACCGCCCCAAGACAGCCCAAGAGGGCTCCAAGACAGCCCACGAGGGCTTTCTGAACGTCCCATAATGGCCCCAGAAGAGACCCAAGAGGGGGAATACGACTTCGCAGTTGTAGCCCTTCCCCCCAAGATGCCCCCGAGAGCTCCCCAAGGGCCTCCGAGGCGCCCCCGCGGGGCCAGACGAATCCTCCGACAGTCCTCCCTGAATCCCCCCACTCGCCTTCGCTCGGACGTCCATTCCGTGTACTTTTTTCGGTTTCGTGCGTGGTTTTTTCGCCAAATGATCAAGGATGCTCCTCGATGGTCCTCGCCGAGGAAAACAACGCACACGTCCGAGCGATGCCGAGCCCAGAGGCCCCAAGATGCCCTCCAGCACCCTTCCATCGTGCATTACTCCTTGTCTCTTTCGGGGGGTGGGCGGAACGGCGCAAGCCACTCGAATATTTACGCGGCATGTCTCGAGCCAGATCGATCTGGGAAGGTCTCAGGGCCCGCAACCTGGTAAAAAAACGCCTGGCGTGAAAGCGAAAAACATGCAACATGTTCCAACCCGCGGCCACCGAGAGGTCCCGGCCGTTTCCCTGGAGGCAATGTTTCGCCCCGGATCCGTGTCTGTTTGATGTTCCCAGGGCCCGGAAACGGCGCCCGAGGGCCGAAATCGACGAAAAAACACCAGGATGAAACATCACATCGTTGGAGATCTGGGTCCGCCTCCTTCATCCCCCCTGCTCCCTTCCTCCCCCCCAGGCTCCCGCCACGTGCCCGGGCTGTCCACGTCCTCCCCTGGCGTGAACTCCTGGGGCGCCAGCAGGGAGGGCGCGAGGGAGGGCAGATAGTAGGAGTGAGCTCCTGGGCGGTCTTCGTAAGAACCCAGACATGCTCGTGTCGTGAAAAGATCACGACGGGATGCTTCTGTTGTTGTCGCGAACAGATAAGAGCGAACAAACTGAAACATATTGTTTGTGTTGTTGCCGGTAACCGTTGTATCGTTTAACTAAAGTGCTTCTCCGGGGGCTCGCGCCCTGTTTTCTACAAGGGCAAGGGAGGTGCCACCAAGCTGGGCCCCTGGCCCCCGATTTTTTACAACAGCGGCCCCCGCCTGATACCTCTTCACAATGTATTATTAAATTGCGCTCTCGCGCGGGACTTCCTCACTATACAAGAATGGCGCTCTCGTGTCGGAGTTCCTCATAACTTATTCAGACGCCGCGCCCTCAACACTCAGGAATCACGCTCTCGCTGTACATGTCCTCACGATTGATTTGGGAATCGCGCTATCGCTCGAGACTTCCTCGCGGTTCATGCAGGACGCACGCTTCAGCAACCCGCCTGCCTCTTGTCCCTGCCTTCCATCGGTCCTCCTCTTCCCCTGCCATAGGGGCTGCTCGACATGCACTTTGCAGGTAAGAAAGATATCCCCCTAAGGGGGCACAATCGAAGACAAAGAGTGCGGGCATCGACGGTTCGGAATATACGTGTTCAGTGGCACGTCAGCAGATACGAGCGAACAGCCGTAAACTTATATTCCCCAATCAGAGCTTGCCTCTGTAGGGGTCCTAGCGGATTCAAGTGTAGGTGAGGTTCGTCGCCGATTTCGGTGGCCGGGCCTGGGTGCCCGGGTGCCCGGTGCCCCGCGGTGCTCGGGTGCCCTGGTGGCCGGTGAAGTTCGTCGCCGATTTCGGTGGCGGGGCCTGGGTGCCCGGGGTGCCCGGGGGTGCCCGGGTGCCCGGGGGTGCCCAATAGCCCAATAGCCCAATAGCCCAGTAGCCCTATAGCCCTATAGCCCTATAGCCGTATAGCCCTCTAGCCCTGTAGCCCTAAAGCCTTATATCCCTGTAGCCCAAATAGCCTTATATCCCTATAGCCCTATAGCCCCATAGCCCATATAGCTCTATAGCCCCATAGCCCTATAGCCCCATGGCCCTATAGGTCATAGTCCTATAGCCCTATTGTCCTATAGCCCGATAGCTCTATAGCCCTATAGCCCCCGATAGCCCTGTAGCCCTATAGCCCGATAGCCCTATAGGCCTGTAGCCCGCCCTATAGCCCGATTGCAAAGGGAGCAACTGGAAGGGCTTTTCTCAGGTATCATTAATCTTATTGTTATTGGTAGTAATAGTAGTAATTGTAGTAGTAGTAGTAGTAGTAGTAGTAGTAGTAGTAGAAGAAGTAGTAGTAGTAGTAGTAGTAGTAATAGTAGTAGTAGTAGTAGTAGTAGTAGTAGTAGTAGTAGTAGTAGTAGTAGTAGTAGTAGTAGTAGTAGTAGTAGTAGTAGTAGTAGTAGTAGTAGTAGTAGTAGTAGTAGTAGTAGTAGTAGTAGTAGTAGTAGTAGTAGTAGTAGTAGTAGTAGTAGTAGTAGTAGTAGTAGTAGTAGTAGTAGTAGTAGTAGTAGTAGTAGTAGTAGTAGTAGTTTCGCTCGGGACATCCTCGAAATTCTGAAAATCGGTGGCACCCCTCACGCAGATCGTGAAGGAGAGGTCCAAAAACACATGGGAATTTCAACATTTTAACATAAAACCTTCAAAAACACATGGTAATTTCAATAATTGTGACCCCGATTCTCAGAGAATGGCGGTTTCGCCTGAGACATCCTCCCAAAATCGAGCCCCAGACCCCTCTTCGGAACCTCCTGGGAGCCTCCTGGAACCTCCTGGGGCCTCCTGGGGCTTTCTGGACCTTCTGGTACCCCAGACCCCGCCTCGGAGCCTCCTGGAGTTCTCCTGGGCCTGCTGAGGCCGCCTGGGGCCTCCTGGGGCCTCCTGGGGCTTCAAAACTACATGCACACACAGAGACACAAATCACGCCCAACACATCACTGATGAGATAATATGCCGATGGACAACAATATCTCCTTTTCATCTTGAGCCAAAATAGGCGCACAGAGGAGGGTGTCAGAATCACTCCTCCTCGGGCCTGGCCGCAAACCGGCCAGGCACGACTTAAGTCGTACGCGGGCGCGCCCGAGCCGACGCGCCCAGCTCATCGGCTAGGCTGCGGCCATGCCGCGAGCCCCTCACTCCGCCCGGCGCGATCATACCGCCGCCGGCGGAACCTCATCCAGCCCCACAGGTAGCGGAGCATGGATTCGATCCACTCCATCACTTGATGTCCTTCTGATTCGAACTCGGTGCCCGATCCCAGATGTTCAGCGTAGCCATGTGTCTCCTCAAAAGGGAGCCACCCACGCTCTTGGTCAGCACGTCCGCGACATTGTTCTTGCCAGGAACTGCGGCGATCGAGAGGTCGCCCTTGCCAACACGCTCCTGGATCCACAAGTATCGTGATTGAACATGTCGCATCTTCCCGAGACCTCGCCGTTGGACGTGGCCCCGGGCCGCCGATGAATCCGAGGCAAGCTCCACCTTCAGGTCCAGCCCCCAATCCGCGAAGAGGCTGTGAAGGCCTAGGCCCACGCTCCCGCCCTTCACCAGGGCGTAGTACTCGCTCTCCCCGCTGCTCAATGAAACCGTCGACTGCAGGTTACTGCCGTGCTTGACTACATGATGCCCCAGCATCGCCACGAAGCCTCCGGTGCTTTTCCGCGTGACTGCACAGCCTGCATGATCGGAGTCCACGTACACCCGGATCTTGTCGAACGTCTTCTGCTCCGTGAAAACCGTCACCGTGCTAGGATGCCGCTTGAGGTAGCGGCCAACCCTCTTGAGCATGAGCCAGCTCGCCTCCGTTGGCGTCTGCATGGACCTGGCGAGCGTCTTCGATGCCTCAGCCAAGTCCAGCCTGTCCTGAGACAGGTAGGCCACCCTCATGGTGAGGGATCGGAAGCGCGAAGCTTCCGCTGCTCCCAACGCCGCCGACTTCGCATCCATCATCTGCTTGTCGGCGCTGCGCTTCTCCGTCGGCGCGTCCACGCCGTTGGCCTTGCTGAGACCCAACTCGTCGATCACGATCTCCGCGTGCCGCTTGCCCGGCTCGATCATCGCATGCCGGCAGGGCCGGCCACCGCCAGGCGGAACTCCCGCACTGACCTCGATGACCCGATTCAGGAAGACCGCCTGCTTGTCATCGCCCTCGTCGAAGCCTAGGTTCGCAGTCTTCTTGAACTCGTACTTCTTGCCCAGCGTGGCCTCGAAGCTGTCGATGTCCTGCTGCTGAGCCAGCACCGCGAAGTCGTCGCCGTGCCCCAGCAGCCTCGTCTCGTCCACCTCTTTGTAGAAGACCGCTGGGCACGACACGCCTGCCTTGTAGCCGTTTTCCTCCAGCAGCTCCGTGTAGTCGCCCTGCCAGATCTTGCTGGCGTCCTGCGTGCCGTACCAGGACTTGAGGAGTAGGCCGCACTTGTCCTCGCCGTACTCCTTGCGACTCTCCTCCTCCAGCTCCACGAAGATCCTCCGCTGCGCCTTCCCGTAGAAGTGCGCCCTGCTGATGTCGAAGAAGCCGATCTTGAAGTTGCCCGGCTTCCTGCCCTTCTTGCGAAGCGACTCCTGAATGTGGAGCGGTGGTTCCCGCGTCCACGTGACCATCAGCGAGACCAGCGACCGCATGGCCTCCAGAGGAGGCATGGCCGAGAAGACCTCGGACGCCTCCAGCTGCTCGTCAGGGCGCTTCTTCGCCTTGATCTCCTTCACGACGAGCCTGCTCCTGTAGTTGGGCCTCTCCGCGTCACCCTTGTTCGTGTCGACCCACTTGAGTGGGATGGGCGGACGCCCAGTCTCGGCAAAAGCCTGAGACCTCGGGACGATCTCGATCAGCTCCTGCTTCTTGACCCACTCGCGCTCGACCGTGCGAGCCTGGGCCACAAGGCCCGCCTCCAGGTAGCCGCCATTGACGTCGTCCCAGTAACTCGTCCAGTCCCCGGGCGGCACTGCCGCGTCCACAGGGACTGGGCCCGACTGCTGCACCTGGGCGGTGCTGAGCTCTCCCACGTCATTCAGCGTGTCCTTGAGCTCCTCCAGCACCGCCTCCACCAACTTCGGTGGATAGACCTTCGCGAACCGCGCGATGCCGCCCACGAGCGTGATGTGGCGATGCCATTCCGCGCGGCCGTCCACATTGCTGCAAGTGCCCTGCAGCCTCCGGGCTAGGCCTGGATGGTTGGTGACCCATCCGGTCTCCTTGCGCACGAACTCCTCCTGGCCATTGCGGGGGTTCGTGAGCTTCATGCCCCACCGACACATGGGGCCTTTGACCGTGAAGACTCCTGGATGCGCGACCAGCTCCTTGACGATGTCCTCATTCCACGATCGCGCGCTCCAGGGATGCTCATGCAAGAAGTACCTGCCTGGCTTCCTGAGCTGACGCCAGTAGGCGTCGACTGCCACCTTCAGGTGGTGTCTGGCCTCCTCCATCTCAGCCGCCTCCTGCTCATCGGTCCTGAACTTGGCGCTCAGGCCCCTCAGCAAGCTGAACTTCTCGCATGGAGGGGACCCCGTGAGCAGGATGGGATCCATCCGCTCCTGCTGCTTCTCGAGCTCCTTGACATCTTCGGGGCGCCGCAAGTCCCACGGCGTCCCGTCCTCCTTGAGTTCCTCCAGGTCCGCCGCGAAGCCCGGGCGCAGCTGAAATTCCGCTGCCCGAGCCGAGAACCGATGTGGCGAGTACACCTCGGCCACGTCCACGGCGCCCAGCTGCAACGCCGATAGGGCGATGCTGTCCACCTCCTCGTCGGCGATGTCCACGCCGGCGCTGGCCCAATGGCCACTGACCTGTTCGCGAACGAGCGGGAGCAACTCCGCCTTCGCTCTCGTCAGCACTCCGAGCTCAACCAGCTCGATCGACGCCACATCGAGGGCGAGCACCCGCATGTGCCTCCCCTCACTGGCGTTCCACACGACTGCC